TATATATATATATATATATATATATATATATATATGAAGCTCAGAGGAGGTATGCATTCCGAGTTGATATAATGGAAAAAATATAAGAGGTTCTTCGGAAAAGTCGAGTTTTACTCGTGAATTTTCGAGCTGGTGACACTAACCCGTCGTCAGACGAAATGAAATCGAGGGAGAAAGTTATGCTGTCACAGTAGACCAGTTGGTGTGATAGGACAGAACAGACCACTGACGTGTGAGGGGGGAGTGGGTGGGCTCCCAAGGTCATGGTAGGTCCCTGAGTGAAGGGCGGCGAAGGGAGGGGAGGCGGAATAACTACGGCACACCCTGCTGGAGGGGGAGGGTGGGTGGTGAATCAGTTGGGATGCGGGCGGCGGTAGTCGCGGTCGTTGATGCGTGAATTAGGGCAGGGGGCAGTCATTCGTGAACGTAGACCCTCGTAATGGGCATATAAGTCAACGTGGCGGTTGATACTACCCGCATTGGAGTACCAAGCCTCGAGAAATTCCCTCGCTCGCTTAGTGTTAGCCATGGCGACGACCTCAGTGCCATCCCAATTGAATCGGTGGTCGTACTCGAGTGCATGGGCAAAGACGAGGGACAGGGTGTCTCGTCGATGGATAGCTAGTTTGTGTTCGTTGAAGCGGGTGCCCAGGCATCGACCTGTATGGCCAACATACACACAAGAGCAATTAGCACACGGGATGCGATAAATTACATTCGTTTGTTACTCTTGAAGAAGAGACTTGATCTCCAGGAGAAACTCCAATCACTTCTCCGTCCTACGAACCAAGGAAATTTGACCACGAGAGTTGTCAACCAATCGAAGAGGAATCTCTCACCTGCGGAAATCACCCTCCTATCCAAGGGAATAGAATTTAATCATGCGGATGCCACACCTACCGACTTCCTAGTTGGGCTTGAGTCTATTCTACTGGCCTCCAACATTCCGGAAGACATGAGCGCGAACCTACGAAGCTGCGCCACCGGTATTCTCCGGCAAAAAGGATACCAACAAAATCTACCGGCCGAAGAAGAGCAAGCATTACGATCATTGAAGTCGGATCACAGTATTGTCGTTGTTCCCGCTGACAAGGGTGACGCTACTGTCATCATGGACAAAGTTGAATACGTTAACAAGGCGAATGAAATCTTCAGTGACATGGAGGCCTATACCCTTCTTGCTGAAGATCCGACTAAAAAGCAAGCCGCTGCCATCAAAAAGAAGGTTAATGAGCTCGCTCGTTTGAAAGTTATCAGTCCAGATGACTCCTAGTTGATGACCCTCAGTGATCCCCACATCGCACATGCGTATGGCCTCCCAAAAGTGCACAAAGTGCCTCTTATCGGATCACCCACTTACAATATAGCTAAGTGGTTATACAGTCGTCTGAAGCGGCTCACTCACGGATCAGATTATAGCATTAACAACTCTCAAGCGTTCCTCCGCAGGGTACAAGGCCTCAAAGTAAGTACCGATGAATGCTTCCTGTCCTTTGACGTCGTTGCCTTGTTTTCTTCCATACAACACGATTTGGCGATTGAATGCGTAACCCAATGCCTACAGAACAATCCTATTGACATCCCAACGCAGCATGTTATAGAACTGCTAAATCTTTGCCTTAGGAACTATTGTCAATTTGATAATAGGTACTACCAACAGATAAAGGGAACCCCGATGGGCCCACCAATATCAGGACTGCTCGCCGAGCTAGTTTTGCAGCGACTAGAAGAGATAGTTTTCCAAACTATCAAGCCTAAACTATGGCTTCGTTACGTTGATGACACCTTTGTCATAATAAAGAAGTGCGAAGTCGAACGGCTTCACCAGAGCCTGAATGACGTTTTCCCAGCCATACAGCACCCGTATCAACGAACACAAACTAGCTATCCGTCGGCGAGACCCCCTGTCCCTCGTTTTTGCCCATGCACTCGAGTACGACCACCGATTCAATTGGGATGGCACTGAGGTCGTCGCCATGGCTAACACTAAGCGAGCGAGGGAATTTCTCGAGGCTTGGTACTCCAATGCGGGTAGTATCAACCGCCACGTTGACTTATATGCCCATTACGAGGGTCTACGTTCACGAATGACTGCCCCCTGCCCTAATTCACGCATCAACGACCGCGACTACCGCCGCCCGCATCCCAACTGATTCACCACCCACCCTCCCCCTCCAGCAGGGTGTGCCGTAGTTATTCCGCCTCCCCTCCCTTCGCCGCCCTTCACTCAGGGACCTACCATGACCTCGGGAGCCCACCCACCCCCCCCTCACACGTCAGTGGTCTGTTCTGTCCTATCACACCAACTGGTCTACTGTGACAGCATAACTTTCTCCCTCGATTTCATTTCGTCTGACGACGGGTTAGTGTCACCAGCTCGAAAATTCACGAGTAAAACTCGACTTTTCCGAAGAACATCTTCTATTTTTTCATATATATATATATATATATATATATATATATGTATAAATTGAAAAACAGGCATCCCAAGAAATATAATAAGAAAGGTAAAGTTCTTTGGGAAACAGCAAAATTTTATTGTGAATTTTCGAGACTGGTTTCCCTGCTCGTCTTCAGACAACGGGCGTGCAGAAACACTTAACTTCTAGACTGAGTCTGGCAAAAGGATTCCATGATTGGTTAAGGTCGTCATCTCGGGATTGGTTGACTCAGTTTGAATCTGCCTTTAACGATTTTGTATGTGGCATTTAAATCGATATGCCGGTTGATGCATGCCTCATCTGAGTGCATTGCCTCCAGGAATTCGCGGCCTTTCCTTGTTTGGCAGGCGCCAACAATGCGAGTGTTTTCCCATGCGAATTTATGCCCAGTGTCCAGTGTGTGCATGGCCACCTGGGATAGATGGTCGCGTCTCTTCACCGCTAACTGATGCTCATGTATACGGGTTGAGACAGATTTCCCAGTTTGGCCACAATAAACGGCATCACAACTAGAACATGAGATTTTGTAGACAACACCTTTTCTTTCCAGATAGCCAACCCTGTCCTTAGGGTGTACACGCTGTGTGCGCAAGGTAGTTGTCGGCTGGTGTGCTACGTGTATCTGGTACTTTTTCAATTGTCTTTCGACTAATTCAGATACATTCTTGACGTATGGGAGAGTTCGCCATGTGGTTAGTTTTGGTGCATGACTGGCCGTAGCATTGGAAATACCTTTTTCCTTGAGTTGCTGGTACCTCATGCATCGACGTGTAAAGTCATGCGGGTACCCATTTTGGGAGAACAGTTTGTAGAGGTATTTCATTTCTGCTCGATAACTTGTTTCATCAGAGCAGTGAGTTTTGGCTCGATTCAGAAGGCTGTAGACTGTACTCCGTTTGTAAGAGACAGGGTGGTTACTCTCAAAGTGTAGGATGACCTCTGAATACGCCTCTTTGCGATAAACTGATGTCTGAAGTGATCCATCGGTTTTTCGACGTACAAGGACATCCAGGAATGGGAGTTGTCCATCGACCTCTGTTTCGAAAGTAAATGTAATTTCTGGAAATATGGAGTTAATGTTGGTATGGAGCAGATTCAACTGATCTTTCTTGACGATGATAAAAGTGTCATCTACGTATCGCAGCCAAAGTTTTCAGTTGACAGTGGGAAGGGCCATGCTCTCTAATTTCTGCAGTAATGCTTCTGCCAGGAAACCGGATTTTGGTGGACCCATGGGAGCACCTTTATATATATATGTATATATGGGCAGAATATATATATGTATATATATCAATCAGGAGTGGGCGCACACCGACCTATTGGCTTCACAAAGCAAACAAGCTCCGTATGTGTGGCAAAGGTCACGAACAGGCAACCAATTACCAGGCCGAAGTCGGCCAAGTCATAATAGCAGCGAGAAGGGACGACAGAGAATGCGGGTAGATTGATACAGCACTGTTTCGGGCTTATTCTGCCTTCATTCAGCCAATCATAGCCCTGACCACCAGCAGCTGGGACCAGAAACACAACCATGCGCACAGACGCACCTGGCGCAGTCGGTCCACCAATGAGGCCTACCAGATGGGTCATAAGCACTTAATCGAACCAAAGTTCATCAGTGCCTCTCCACCTGTCATTCTCTGTCGCTGCAGATCGGGTATTTATCAATCAATATATAATGGTAGTGGGGCGCTCGCCGACAGCTCTTACAGAACTAATTCATTCCGCTGTGCCTTACGAGCCCAACAAGTAGACGCACAGAGACGCATGATATAGGTAGAAGGTTATTACAGACAAAAACGTGGGATACTGATGAGATCGGTGAGCGCCCCTCTACTGTTGTACCTTCTTGTTCACAACCGACAGGACAACGAGCCCGTAGCTCAGTTGTCAGAGGCCTTCTCCAGAGGAATGGCCTCTGGTCATGCATAATTTTCCCGTTTCGTTTCGTACACTGAAATTTTTCTCGCCAAGGCTCGATCATCCGAGGACTTCCGCTTGGAGTCATCTCCATGTCCTCCCTCCAGGGGTGAGAAGTCCAGATGAAAAATAATTGTTTGGTGGGTATTTTGGAGTACGGATTTCCTGCTCAAAAGGACCTGAGCTTTTTCGTCACTTTGGAAAACAATTTTAGCGGTCTCAGTAGGTCCGAATCATCGTCTTTTATTCGGTCCATCCAGAAAGCCCTCAATACGATGACTTTTTCATCTCTTCTTAAGGACGATTTTAGATATCAATGGAATATTTCTACGACACGATCTGTTTTGTCCTTTACGGTGTCGGAAGCAAATTCAGGCGTGCATTTTATGACAGTGCACTTACTACGACCAACTCTAGGGCCTTGTGACTTACTCTTACGTGCAGAGACTTCACCACATATGTTGTGAGTACCGCCATCCTCTGATTTAGGAAGGTTTGATTCGGCACAATTATCGTGCGACTCCGCACTTACTGCGGTCTTTTGGTCATTCGCCATTTTCAGCGGCATGATTTTTGTTTACGATGTACCCAATTCTTGTTCCCTTATCTGATCGCTGTGTCTTTTCGAGGTGCTCTGAGGCATTTTTGTCTGTTGAGATCCCGTCTGTTTACCCTTTTCTCACACCAAACACTGGTCGTCATTCATGCCGAGATCCATAGACTCAATAATTTCTTTATTCTCAATCGACAGAACTAAGGAAGCCGTGCTTACGTATGTTCTTACTATTTGAATTTTTGATATCAGCGATGTCTTCTCTTTGTTGCCCTTTCTTTGGTTTAGTGATCGCCTCTGACCGCAACAAAATTGAAAATGTTCAGGGGGTTTTCACCCGGAAACTCTTCTCTCAAGATGGATTCAATATTTCTTATACTCAGAGATGTCAGCTGATGAACATTATGTTTTTATGGATAGTAAGACATGAAGCTTGTCTTTGCTTCCTTCTTTGCATTAACTCTAGCTCCAATCGTCCATGAATTGACACTCAATCCGACAGATCGGTCTTGTATCACGCGCAACTTCACCATGGTGATTTCGACGCCTTTTTAAATTACATCTAAACGCTTCCTCTTTTTGCATTCATATATGCCTTCCTTTGGAATAATCTCCCATCAGAATAAGTTAATCGGCCAAGTTATCGACGTTCAAATTGAAATTGCGTAAGCCCATAGCACCGGAAAGTATAAAGTCAACACTGGCCGTTTCATTCTCGATCACTCAACTGCTTACATTTGAAAAGGGCTCTCCTGAGATTTAATGATAGACTAAGTAAAAACCCTCATATTTTTTACAGTCCCCTGCTTTTAATTGGCAACTAAATCCATTGTTCTTATTCCTTCCCCACAGCGATGATTTTCGCGTTTCTTGATGTCATTTCATTTCGACCCCAAGCGGTCTGTCGACACTCACGGCGGGACCCTCTGTATTTGCCGTCTACTAGTAGTTTGGTTTCACCTCCCTTGCCCACTCCTCGGTTGGGCTCGAAGACGACCGTGACCGATCGCGTCTGGGTCCTTTTCGTCTCTCCAGTTTGACGCGAATAGCTTTATCCGGTGTATGAATTCTGCTCTAATGACGTTCGTTTCGAATCCGTTGGACACTAACACATACAGGCCAATACTGTCTGACGCGCACACTTACTCCTTAATGAGCGAAAGTTCTTATGCCACGACGGTATCTGTTTAGAATTCTTTATACACTTCTGCATGCAGGCCGGCCCTGCCCACATTCTTATCTTTCATGAGCAACAGTTTTTTGCATTTAAGGTTAAACCGATCACATGCACTTTGTTTATTTGACAAAGTAGTATCTTCGCTGTTTACTAGTCACTTTTCCTATCATACCGCTTTTCCA